CACCTCCACTATCTACAAGTTCATGTAGGCAATAGCAAGGAGGGCAAACGACTACCGTGTTGCTTAACACCTAAACACTACAAGGAGAGGCAACTAGACCAGTGCCAACTATCAACAATGCCGACTGGTCCTATCATTTCCTGTTTCTCTGAGTCCTCGTAAAAGAACATTCAGTCATGGCACCTCATCTCAGATTCTTAAACATCCGATCCCCCATAAGGTGATATACGCGTTTTAAATTTCATTCTCTTCTGTGCCAAAATGCGAAGAATACCAAGCGTTTCATGGATTTTACCTCGCAACTAGAATTTTGATCTAACCATGTCATTTTCTACTCCAGATATATGACGTAGATGTACAAGTTTGGACAGGAATACGTCTTCTATACCCAAACTACAACAATCAAGTATTGAGCTGTACTTCTAATACATTATCTTTCGCTTAGACGAAGGCCATTAACTCTATCGTCTAACTTCTTAATTTACATGCTTCTCCTAATCAGAGAAAGTGCCTCAAAATCAGAAGAAAATGCTGGTGATCGATAAACATTTCAGCCTGACAGTTAAATCCGCCATATAATACCTGACTACACACAACTTCAATAATTTCTAGTAGCTACGAATCACACGAGCAACATTCATAAGGATGAGGGCATTTAGCTGAAGAAGAAAAGTTAAAGTTAAAGCGTCGAGACCCGTTCTAAGAAGTTAGTTTTTCTTTCATTCTAAGACCGAAAAAAAGCATCGTTGAAGAAGCCGTAAAAGTAAGCACGATACGTAAGTTATGCGACATAAGCAAATAATAGCTATTTCATAAAAAATAAGGACGATAAAGATTCAAATTTCAATTTACTTCAACATGTACAGTACTTACAGCATTGCTACATATTACAAGAACTACAGTTTCAAATCCCATACATTTGCTCGGCGTAACCAGTTCAAGTAATAGGCATTATCTACCGCTGATTCGGACAAATCAGGTTGACTTGAAACTCATTCCTCGACCCCATTAGTGTAGCAAAATTCTCTGAATTAGAAACAACGATAAATTCAGTCAGACGGATATCAGATTTTCGGTTTTTAGCAATGGGTTTCGGTTTCTTCAGATCTGCCACACACGACTTCCCGTCGAAGCTGCCTGTGCAGCGATACAAACATGCTCAGCTGATGCGGGGTGCACTCTTCGAAAGTTCCTCTTTCTCTTTGTTCAATTCCTTACGTACGCGTTCCTGGTAAGGGCGTTTTTTCAGCTTGTCAACGGCGGAGGCAGGGGGTTCTGAAATAAGTCAGATCAACAGATTATCACAAACAATCGAACAGCAATAGCAAATAACAATCACATTATTTTCAACTGAAACAATATTAAGTAAAAAAGGAAACACCAGAAGATAAAATCCGTTTAGACCACATTGCCCAACTCTCAGTTAGTTAACGTACAGAACGCACGTTGCTGATCGGACGATTCATAAAAACAAAACGGCTATGATTGCTTTACTCTTACAAGTTCGCTTACTAGGCATTACTCTTGTCTCCAAGCAGCTGTCTCCACAGGACCGCGGAGAGAGTGGCCCAACTTTATGCTCGGTTGCTTCATTAGACTTTCTACAACAAGGAGTTGCTAACATCTTCAACAGCCAAGACAGATACAACTACCAATGCAATCTCTCCATTCTAGACTAGATGGCTGGTGACAGGAGGCAACATTGAGTAAACTAGAGAGTTACATGATCCATTTTAGGAGTATCATTCGTTTTTAAATAGCAATAACTGTAAATGAAACAACAAGAGAAAAACAGTCGATCAACACAACTTACCCACAGTACGTTTAGCTTTGGAGCCTAGCGGCACGGGCACAAACGGAACGATTCCTGTGATCTTGCCGACGGCCTTTGTTCGTCCCTCCCTGAAAACCAGCCGTTGGGATTCGTGCAGATACTCTGGGCTCTTCAAGAAACGGAAGTGGACCTTCGCTTTGTCGCCGGTACGCAAATAGTCCTTGTTCATGTGAACGATAGTCGCTGTCTGTCGCACGCTGCCGCAGTGAAGCATTGCCTGATAGCCGCTCGATATGGTGGTAGGGTGATGCATCACCAGCAGATCAGCGTCGAACTCCCAGCATGGCTTGGCATCGATCGCCGGTGACAGCAGATACATACCCTTGCGGATGAAAGAGCGCTTGATCTTCTTTAACGAGAACGAAGCCGTTTGGCCGCCGTGCACCTCTGTCACTGGCAGCCGCTTCCGGTGAATGGATTTGATCGGTACGGTTATGAAATGACCAGAGCTGTCCGGCCCAAGCTGCATGTTCTCATTCAACTTGATGACGCCTCTACAAAACATCAACTTTTCTTTCTTTAGTGAAACATACACAGATACTACCAACGTTTAAATTTGATAGTACATTCTCAAATAGTGCACGAGAAGGAAGTAAAGGTAAGATCGAGACCTCAGAATTAGTCTACAAATTCAGCCATTACAATTCTGAGTAACTCTGCCATTCGACTTTTAGTCAGCCTTAGAAGAAGTCAGTATCTTCTGCTACGGAAACATGACAACCTAATCTTCAGGTCAGGCTACAGAGAAAACGTCACCTAGTTATGACAACAAACGCAATTACTTCAGACATGTCCCTGAGACGACAGTACCAACACCGGGTACGGAGTAAGTTTCATCAATCTGAAATTCAGCAGGATCGGTTTTGTTAGCCGGTGTCCGCAGCATCAACAAATTTAGGAACAGTTTCAGCAGGTCTAGGCACTCGCCGGTAACATTAGAAACTTGAAAAACGGGGCAAATCCTAGAAAAAGAGTATTTAGTACATTGAAATTTCGCATCTTCAACCACTCACCTTTCAGACATAAAATTCACCGCCGAAACGATCACGTCGTCAATGGACTGTATAAGTACCATGTATTTTCGACAACCCGGAGACTTCAACAATTTGTGCAACATTTTTAACGTGTCGCTTAAAACGTTTGCAGGGCACATATCGATTTTCGTAACGACCACAAAAACGGGAACACTTAAGGCGAGTGCCAAGCCCAAGTGTTCCTTGGTCATGCCTATGACACCAGCGTTGCCGCCAACCAACAACATACAGTAATGGGGGGCATGACCGGTCATGCCGAAGATGGTTGTCTTCAAATACTTCTCATGTCCAGCCAAGTCGATGAATGTTACTACCTGAAAATCAGAAACGTTTAGAAACAGAATCATTCGACTAAACATCGAACATGAAATCGATACAAATAGTGAAAATAAAAGAATACTCGCATATTTAAGCGAAGAAATCAGCTTTGGAGAATAAGTCGTGCGAAAAATGAATAAAAGAATTGCAGGCACTGACAGTCATACTAGATGAACAGCTATCAGATGGGCGAAAACGAGCTACAACGCTCAGAAATGCTCGAGAAGCATTAGTAGCAGACAAGGTAGGGGGAACAAGGTTAACATGACTGATAACATATCACCAGAAAGCAAGCAAGCGACCGATGCTATTGGAAAATCAACGACCTACCATCCACTTCTCAGCAAATTGTACCTATGAAACATGTGCGCATGCAAGGGGTAAGAATCCTTGTTCAGTCAGTAGTTAAAAAAATTTTTGGGCTCGAACAAAATACGACTGGCATTCAAAACAGACATCTTAACACTACCCAACATTCAACATGTATAAATCTCCAAAACCTCTGAGAAAATATTTAGAAGCATTCGCCTTTCTTGCTTCTATAAAATAACATAATGAACGATGTTCAGGGATAATAACCACACCAAACCTGAAGCCTTCGAATTTTCAAGAAATACAACTCGGCGTGCTCCACACGTTTGACTGGTGAAGAAGTTTACAAAAGTGAAATATAGGAACAGTGAATGATGAATGATACGAATCCATCAAGTAAGGGCAGCAGCGGAGGAGCTGATATGATGGATCTGAGCAATAATGCGAATATATTTGTCGTCAAGTCTGTATAAGCTCCTGCTCTCACCAGTGATCAGAAATACACAATATTTACGCCAAGAATGCGATCATGAATACAAGAAAGGGGTTTCGTCGAAGTACTGATTATATGACGATACGTAACATTATTTGAAACATATTCCCCTGTGGGCTCCTTCTCCTATCGCGAAATCACGTCTGGTTTGAAAACGTAGTTCGAATATCCGACTGAGACTCACAAGATCGACTCGCTTCGGAAAGCCAGAGAGCAGTTGATATTATCCAGATCTAGCTTGAGATGGTGCA